GATGGCATTTCCAGTTCCTGGGTCAGAATAATTAAGCCTTCAAATAAGGCTGACAAAACAAGACAAAAGAGAGCAAAAGAGGACACTACTTATATTCTCCTAAGTGTACACAGCTCTGTTTCCTCCCTTGCTAGAAGAAATTCACTACAAAATAGCACAAGGATGTATAATCTTCATGTTCATTGCGACCTGAGGCATTCACAGGAACTTTCTATGCGGTTTGCTATTAGACGTTCACAGTTAAAAGAGCATGATAAACAGATGTGGCCAGCTCCCACACACGAACTCCCCAATGCCTCATTTTGAGGAAGAGAAGTTTCTGTATTGCTCGAAGAAAGCCTTTCTTCAGTGTGTGTCTTGCACAGTAATAAATGCCAGAGTCCTCAGACTTTAAACCAGTCAGCTGAAAGAACACTTAGTTTTTGGATGTATCCCGTGTGATGCTGATCCGATTCTGGAGCGCACTGTTATAGTTAGTGCTTCCACTAGCCCAGATAACGCCATTCGATTCCAGCCCCTTTCCAGGGGCCTGACGGACCCAGTGCACTGCGTAGCTTGTGATGGAAAATCCAGAGACTGTGCAAGTCAGTTGTAGAGTCTCTCCTGGCTTCTTCAGGCCACCACCAGACTCTGTAAGCGTAATCTGTGATGACATATCTGCAGTCAAGAGTATAGAAAGGGACAAAAAGAGAAATGGGTGTGAGGGAATGTGGAGAAAAACCACTGGTTGCCTTGAAAAAGGGGATAATTATTATTTTTCCCTTACATGTAGGGAAGATCATTAGGAGATATATCAAGATGTTCAGCTCCATGATGGAGGTAGGGAAGTCAGTCTCGTCACTTGAAACTCAGCTGAACTATATCCTCAATCCCTGCCTTTAACAAAAAGCCACACCAGGTCATTTGCATGAAGTCAGACATGACACAAATATAAGCAAGTAACATCCTCCAATTCAACAATTGAGTAGAAAGAATGAATTGAGCTCATCTCAGGAATGGGGCATATTCACACTGCATCTAGCACACAGTTATCCCATTGGTAATCTCTTCCATGGGAAATCAGTATAGCTGGGGATCAAGTGAAATCCGTCCAAGTTGAATTCAGTTCAGGGTGAATTGTGA